TCTTTCTTTAGTGAGCAGTTCCTCACAGGATGAAAAAAAATATAAAAAGGCAGAAACCCATCACCTCAGCTGACAGCAAATTAAGCAGCTTCTCCTGGGAATTCCCACTTGCCTGCCACCAGGGACAGAGCCAAGGAGCAGAGCCCATGGCCAAGAAGCCCAGCCTGGGGCAGGGGCTGCAGAGATGGGGAGGTTCTGGGGCTGCAACAGGAGGAGATTGTGGCAGGTGGCACAAAAAGAGGGAGTAGGAGGAAAGTAGGAACAAAGCAAAGGAAAGAAAAATCTAACTGGAGGGAAGCACCTTGGGATGAAAAAAAGATAAATCCCTGCTGGGTATAGCAAGGGGAGAGCAGAGCAATAGGACAGAAAGAGGATGAGAACTTCAAGCCTTAGTATTAAGAAAGAATGTAAGAGCCTCAGCAGAAGGGAAGGACAGAGGAGAAGGGAGGTGCCACCTGAGAGGAGGCAGTGCAGGTGCTCCCTGCATGCCCAGCCTTCTCCAAAGGCACATGGAGCTCAGACCACTGCAGACAGGCTTTGAGGGGCATAGGCTGTGGCAGAGAGCTGAGCCCCACTGCAGCAGACCCTACTGGGTACATCAGGTGGAAGGAAAGGACAGACAGGCCAGCAAGACCCCACATACGGCGGAGGAGGGATTGCAGCAGTGATCCCAAGGGCAAAGACTTGGGAACAAGTTGAGGAAAGAGCTGAGGAGCAGCCAGCCCAGCTGCAGGGCAAGGAGAGCACAGCATGGGCCAGCCAGCAGCACACAGGGTGCAGAGCCCAGGCTGGACAGCCCTGCCTGGGGCTTGGGGCACCTCCCAACAGGGCAACTGGCTGAGTTACCAGGGGTTTGGCAGGGCCTCCAGTTGCAGTGGGACATCATCTCCTAGGACAATCCACAGCAGCTCCCAGTACCGTGAGACACAGCTCTGGAGCACTGGGAACCCCAGGTGTGGGGGGCCCCAGCCTGTGGCAGAGAGCGGAGCCCCACTGCAGCAGACCCGACTGGGTACATCAGGTGGAAGGAAAGGACAGACAGGCCAGCAAGACCCCACATACGGCGGAGGAGGGATTGCAGCAGTGATCCCAAGGGCAAAGACTTGGGAACAAGTTGAGGAAAGAGCTGAGGAGCAGCCAGCCCAGCTGCAGGGCAAGGAGAGCACAGCATGGGCCAGCCAGCAGCACACAGGGTGCAGAGCCCAGGCTGGACAGCCCTGCCTGGGGCTTGGGGCACCTCCCAACAGGGCAACTGGCTGAGTTACCAGGGGTTTGGCAGGGCCTCCAGTTGCAGTGGGACATCATCTCCTAGGACAATCCACAGCAGCTCCCAGTACCGTGAGACACAGCTCTGGAGCACTGGGAACCCTCTGTCTGGCTGCCAGGCAGGCAGCAGCCTCAGCTGCCTCTGAGAGCCAACTGGCACACGGTGCCCAGGCAGGAGGCCCCCAGCATCCCAGCAGCTCTGCCCACTCTCGTGGGAGAGCAAGTGGCTCATGCCATGGTCCATCATCACCAATATGCTCCTCATCTCCCCCCCACGCCCCCTTGGCAGCCCATCTGCTGCCACACATGGCTGAGGCAGAGAAGAAGCTGCAGAGGAGGAGAAAGAAGACAAGACCTCTTATCCCAGTGCAGGTGCCATTCCTCATTAGGAATGGAACTGGTCAACACACAGCCACAACCCCACAGCTCCCACCTTACCTGAATGCACCAGAGCCTCTTCCCCACTCTGTTGGCCACCTTTTTCAACAATATCCACCCTTCTGACACCCAGCTTCCAGCACCCTGTGCTGCTGGGAGCCTGCAGCTCCCCTCTGCCAGTGGCAGCACAGCCCAAGCCCTCCCCACAGCCACCCCATCCCCTATATCCCCTCCCAGGCAGGGGAAGCTGAGCATCATCAGCTCCAACCACCTTTGCTCATGGGGAGCACCTGGTGCCCCAGGTGAAAGCGCAGCTGCCCGGGGTGGCCCCCCCACCTGGGCCCCCCAGGGCCCCTCTAGGTGCTGGGGAGCACCCAGATGTGAGCCAGCCTGCAGCAGCACCAGCTGCTGA